TTCACTATGTATTTCACTAAAAAATGCAACATTTTAACTCGGTTTTTGGTAGATTTTTACGTGACTAACATAAGGCTACTGTGGAAGTGCCCATTTCGGTTACAACGTTCGTTTATAACGACACTATTTTTAGGTCCCTTTGATGATGTTATAACCAAGTTCTACTGTACTATGGTCTTGTGAGATGTGATGCCATGCAGTTTGAAGGGTAAGTACACTCAACTCTCAATTATCTGGGGGCAGATTAACCGGTTTGTGGCTTAACTGGGGCTTTTTTGAGGCTTATATGTTGTTTAATATTCATTCACTTTTGTTTCAAATGGTGAGTTGTAACACTATTTTCGCACTAGTGTGAACCAAGCTCAGCATTTTTTGGTCCTGTTATACTAACACAGTATTCTATGGTAGGGGTGAAAGAATGCAAGGATTTGTGGAAAGTTTCAAGGACAGATACACCGCCCCAATTAGTCTCCTTGTATCGATCTTCAAGTGAGTTAGCAAAATGTCAGGGTGTAAAAGGAAGCGTGTTGTGTAAAGTATTCAACAGTAACTCGTGTGAGCCGGGCTTCGAAATGTTAAGCAGTGACGAAATTGTAAGTTAAGTGGGGGTGCAGTCAGAAGAGCGGGAAGAAAGTGAGAATGAGGAAGAGGTGGACAGTGCTGCTCTTAATCATTTTGGAATCCTTACTAGACTATCTCGAGAGTGAAGAGAACAGTTTATTAAGTGACAAGCTAATATTACGTAGGCTTCATACAGATATCTGTAAAAAGGAAAATGCCGCGAAAAAGCAAATGACAGTATTAAATTTTAAGTGTTAAGTGTGAATATTCATAAAAAGTGTTGGATGTTGTTGAACACTGTGATTGAAATAACTAATTCATACTTCAGTGTAATGTAAAAAGAGTATTAAATAGGCCATGAGATGACATAAAAATGAGGTTGAATAAATTTAAATACAGGTAGGCCTATAGTATTATGAAGGTACAGTATTACAGTTCTACTTTTAATAAAATTTGGCTTAACCGGGTTTTTCGATTAAATATGATTTCCATCCCCACCATTATCCCGGATAATCGAGAGTTGAGTATATCTCCAAAAAACAGTTCTGCTACTTCAGACACTTGCATTGGGTCTGATGGAATTTGTTTCACCCCTGGATTTCCAGTTAACTGTTCCAAAGTAGGCGTTTTGTCTACTTTTCCTCATGTGGCTGACCCCGCAATGTTACTATCCGCATTTTCATCTGAGCTACTGTTACTTTTACTGTCTGTGTCCACAATTCTTTGTTGTCCCCTGTCACTGCCACTGTCTGAGTCTATCACTACACGTCTCACAAGGCATGTCAGATAGCTCATTGGAGAACAAGTCAGATATTTCTTGTTCTCCGAGAGATCTCTTGTTCTTCAACCGCTTTCGTCCTTGATCCATATTGCACTACTAACTTACTGTCTGGTATATACAGCTTGATGACAAACAAAGGGGAATTTTCCTTTGGAGTGGGACAGGAAAACAGCGAGGTTATGTTACTAACTACTAGGCAAACATTCATGAGGTCTATTACGCACCAGTTATGCATCTGCGTGGTGCCAGAGCAAGGTATAGTGTGTTACAACATAACGTCCTAAAATCATAATATTATGCGAACAGTCCGCCACATTTAAAAGCAAAAAGCATAATATTATGAGACCAGTTTGCAAAGTGTTAATTTTCTGTTTCATGTTTGTTTTTATTGAAAAATTATAATGAGCAAATGTGCATTCACATACAATTACTGTCTCTGGAAAGATGGGTCCATAATTCTGAACTCATTATAAGGATGTAAAACATCATATAATGTATAGATAAAAACAAGAAATGTAACTGTATTCAAACAACTGACTTCAGAATGTCAGCAGCTTGCAGACAGAAAATGCATAATATACTGTATGATTATATATATATATTTATATAGTGTAGATTATTTCGCAGAAATAATTTTTCTTCAGGATTACATGTTTTGTAGACCACCACATTTTACTTCACTACACACACCATTTTCACAGAAACTGAGAAATGAAGAACTTTGCATCGCCTAGGTTAACATCAGTTTCCTCATTTCTGGTATAAATTCCTGCAATTAACAGATGTGGCATTTCTTCTTTAAGTTTGTCCATACATTTCTTATCTAATGAACTGCAACCATGAACATGGAGTTCTGTCAAATGGACAAGAGTGGATGGAATCAGATGAAAATTAATTCCTAATAGATGAGAAGTGTGTGAAAGTTCAAGAACCTCCAGCTGTTTGCATTTGAATATGTGTTCCATCACATCATCTGTAATTGCAGGATAATTTTGAATACTAAGGTACTTGAGTTTCTGACAGCCTGAGCAAACATATTCAGTGCCTTTGTTTGTCAGCTTGTAGCAATCTGCAACACGAAGATGACTGAGGTTTGGACATCCAGCACCAACATATTCCATGCTTTTGTCTGTTATTAATAAACAACGAGCAATATCAAGATATTGTAGATTCTTCCAGGTACGAGTATACTGGAAACCATCATCTGTAAGTCCACACTCATGAACAGTAAGTCTTTGTAGTTGAGGGCAGTTTGTCAAAATCACAGCTAATGATGAACCATCAAAATCATCAGAGTCATATAAGTATAAAGTAATTAATTTAGACATTGACTGATTCTTAAATATACTGGATACATTTCGTGTTTGACCTTCTCTAAAATACCTAAGTACCAACTCGCGCATTTCTGACATTTTCGAGAGAGATTGTATGTATGTATCTGGCAGATCTGCATTTAAATTGTGATAAGTGAGAGATTCCAAATTTGCACATTCTGTTAAGAGCCTGTGGGCTACAGTTGATATGTAGCTTCTAACAGAGAAAGATGAAAGCTGTTGCCCCCTTTTCTCCAGAAAGTATTCAATGTCTTTAGTTTGGGATTTACTGAATCCCATATCTACGCATTGTAGAGATGGACATCCATCAGCAATTGCTCTGAGTACTCCATTTGCAACTGTGGAAACACAGTGGCTGGTAAAACTTAATGTTGTTAATTTTTTAAGCTGTGCAACTAGATCTGCAAAATGTAATTGATCTGTTTCTTTGGGGAGAGGGATAACGAGCTTCTCTATATGGGGAAATTTTTTAAGAATCTGATGCAATGTTGAATTACTCAGCTTGTGGGAATATCCGAAGTATATGTGTCGAATATCTCTACAGTATTTGCACAGTGTATCAACGACTTTCGTGTTTGTTCCTCGACTTGGACAGAACGACCGTAGTGCTGGCATATTCCTTAGATGTCTTGATATTTCCTCATCGCTCATCTTGCACCCAGGACTAAAGGTTTGGTATTCCCATAGTGAATCATCTTGTGAGACATTCTTCCAGTGTGAATTAACATGTTGTACAGACATTGCAAGGTCTTCAATACTCAAGTTTGAGAAAATTATCAGCAACAGCTCATCTGGTAAATCTGTAAAATGTTTCCCAGAAGCCATTGTGGAGGGGTGGGGGGAGAACAGCTCCACAGTCACCACACTGAAACAATTTGAAGCAAATTTAACAGTGACAAATACACTTCTCTGTTGTGAGTTTTCAGTATTTCAAATGTCTTCATCCGAAGATGTGTGAATTTTGTATACACATACAGAATGATGTTGTATTGGAAAGTAAAAAGTAAAGTAAAGCTATCCTGTACCAGGCCATGAAGGCCCATTGAGCCGATCCCTTCGGCTCATTGCTTGTGGTGCCCTCTCCGAGCGGCGGCCGCGGCCATGGGTCACACCTTTTTTTCTACCTTTCCTACTACCTATCCTTAGTCCGTGGCGCATACTACGTCATCGCTCCCCTATCCTTGGTGATTCGGCTGAAGCACGCGGTCTCTTCTGCCTGGAAAGTCATCGTGTACGGACGTCTCGCTCCGTAACTAAATTCTGTTTGGGTCGGCGCCATGAAAGATTCGGTTTGGTAGCTAAACTCCAGGCAGGAGAGCCCATCTCGAGGTAATGTACGTAACGCTAGCGTACTGATTATTGTTTTTGGAGGAATTGTGTAAGCTGAGAATATATATATA